AAAAAAAAAAATCAAAATTTATTAGGAAGGTAAGAATGGTTAATACATTGGGTATTGTTACCTTTAAATTAGTTATGTAGATTGCAAGATATATAGGCATTTAATTGTCCAAATATTAGCATAGGCGCAAACCTTTATTTTCAGTGAAATAAATTCATATAGCCATCATCTTTTCTCCTCCCCCCCATTCCAGTTTCTCTTTTGAAGTTTCTTCCATTTCTCAATATCTGTTGTTCATTTTGGATCTTATTTACTCTCTCAGCTTCTCACACTATGGAAACAATACTATGTCTACACATGCACGTCTGGTTTATTTCACTTATGAGTATGGTCTTGAGTTGCATCCACTTACCTATGAATGTCAGATGGAGACTTTAGCATGATAAACCCTAACCCTAAACAGCCATCCTGAAGTTCCTAGAGAATTTTATCTGGCTTTTTGTCTCTGTATGAGTTTTATTTGGGCTTGTAGCAACTTTGCTTTACCTTGGCAGAATGTTTTCCTTGACAAACCTCACAGGTTTAAACTTTGAGAAGAATAGTTCAGACTCTCGATATGGAGCCTCTCAAGTCGAAGATATGGGGAATATAATTTTAGCAATGGTATCGGAGCCTTACAGTAAGTCCTGCTGTCACCCTCCCGTGTGGAATGGGGCCCCGCATCCTTCCTTGACCCATGCTTGCCGATTTGCTCTCCCAACTTTGCACGCCTGATAGCTAAAATGATGATTGCTTTCTCAATTTTAGATCACAGGTTTTCAGATCCAGAGAGGGTAAACTACAAATTTGAAAGTGGCACTTGGTAAGTAGCTGAATACTCTTCATCTGAGGTCTTTTTACTTTTAATTATTCTTACAGTTTAGAAGCTTAACTTGATCTTTTGCTTATTTCATATTGTTAGACTGTTTATTAAAATAAGCTTGGATATTGGTAGGCAAATTTAGTGAAACATATTATTGGCATTTTCAGTCACTGGATGACCAGATACAGCTGTTTGTATCTGTGATTCTTATTTTTTTCTCTTAAAATTTGTCCATTCTCTTACTTGGAAAAATCTCCAAAGTAAACAATCAGGGTTCAAATTTTTACTGAGGTTACTTTAAATGTGCGCTATCAGCTTCTGCTTGAAATTGAAGGAAACATCCAGAGAGGAATAAGAAGTTGTACTGTCTCCCTTTGTGGGGCTGGGGAGATAGCTCAGTAGAATAAGTGCTTGCATGGCAAGCACAGGGCCTTGAGTTCAATCCCTGGTACCGCAAGAAGAAGAAGAAAAAAAATTCCCTTTGTGATCACAGGCAGGCCTGGTGAAGTGGGTACATCATTGTAGTGAATTGTGGGAGATTGATGCCTGACTCAGATAGAAACTTCTGACATCTTTGCCCTTGGAGAGATTTTGAAGCCCATTTAGATATGTAGAAGGTGATTCATTAGGAAAATGACCCAGGATTGCTGAAAACATGAACCTCCAAAGGACAGAATGTCAAAACACTTCAGGATGTATAATAGGTGCTTTCTGATGGCTCCCAGAGGTGTTGGGACTCCCAAGCGTTAAGAAGCTTTGTGGGGTAACTCTGGCTTGACAGGGATAATACTTTTGTGGAAGATTCTGACCACACACACACATTCCTGTTGTGGGTTAATTGCCAGCTCTGTTCTGACCCTAAATTTTGCAGCCAAGTTGGCTTTAACACTCAATTGTTGTTGCCTAGACCTGAGAATTAATTTAAATCTCTCCTAATTTCTAGCATCTTTCAGGCCAGGAGGGTAATGGGGGAACCTTGCATCTCACGGGTTGAACCTGAGGCCTTTAGTTTCTGAGACCAGTGTCCCTGGGCTGATAGATGCTTTGCTGGAGGAGCTGGTGGTTTTGGACCTACCTGGGCGGCTGTCTTTGTAGCATGAACAAACTAAAGAATGTTCAGTTCTTGAGGCACATAGGGCAGTACAGCAAGCCTGTCTGAACTGCAGATAAATAAGACCTCACAGGTTACCAGGCATATCACCTGGCAAGGACTCCCAGATGCCACCTATAAGCATTAACTTTGTGACCTGAAGTTTTGCTTTGCCCACAGCAGCAAGATGGAACTTATTGATGACAACACTGTTGTCAGGGCACGAGGGTTACCATGGCAGTCTTCGGATCAGGACATTGCAAGATTCTTCAAAGGACTCAATATTGCCAAGTTGGTTTCCTTTAACCTCTGTTTTTTTGTTTTTCTTTTTAACAATCCCAAAGGGTTACTGGGTTTCCCATACTCCTTTTCTCCTCACTGAGTTTCCTACCTGCCATCTGTTTCCTTTTCAAAGGGGAGGTGCAGCACTTTGTCTGAATGCTCAGGGTCGGAGGAATGGAGAAGCTCTGGTTAGGTTTGTAAGCGAAGAGCACAGGGACCTAGCACTGCAGAGGCACAAACACCACATGGGGACCCGGTACATTGAGGTATGTCCCTCCCTGGCAACCCTCGGCCCCTCCTGAGCATGAACATGGAATGGGAGGTTTGCCAATGGGGTGTTTGAACTTCTCTTTATTTTTATAGGTTTACAAAGCAACAGGTGAAGATTTTCTTAAAATTGCTGGTGGTAAGTGCCTTTTATATAATGTTTTTAGTTAATAAGATAAAATTTTTACTTAAAGAATAGAGCAGTAGGGCTATGACAGAGCTGAGGGTTCAGTATAGAGTCCTATACTGGTTTTATTCCCAACACACATATACACGCGCACACACACACACAGATCTTGAATGATTTTTTTTTTTTTTTTTTTTTTAACTGGGGATTGAACTCAGGCCTTTGTGCTTGCCAGGCAAGCACTTATTCTACTGAGCCAACCTCAAACTGGATCTCTCTGCTTCAGCCT